ATGGAAGGACCTTTCTATTTAAATACAATTAAATAATAAAATAAAGTTAATTAATATGTACTGACCTTTATATAAGTCTTAAATCCTTAAATACTACCTGAATATAAGAGTACTGGGTGGAAATTAAGCACTGAAATAGCCATATACTGCAATATTCCATAAACCACGTCATACATCCAAATCCTTTGTTCTGTGATCCGACGTTTGTTGTGATTTCACTTATTTTTCCACGAAGAAACCAGTATCCCTTTATTGTGCTGGTTATTTTTAAGATATACTATCCGGCTCGAAGGACCATGTCTATGAATTCAGGTGTATTTAAATAAAAAAACGGAGTTAAGCTTGAGGTCAGTATATTCACTTGAAGGGCGTAATCTTAAGAGAGTGAATAACAAAAAAGAAACTGTGTCGGTAGACATAAAATAATACAGAAAGATTAATAATATGAGCAATCACGGTGCACAATGATGTTGCTATTGAATTTTAACAGGAGTTATTAAATTAACAAGTATAATTAGTATGTGATTTTTAGACATATACAATACAATAATAATAATGAAGGAAATGATTAATTTGTAGTAGCGGATAAGGAAGGGTACCGTTATGTAGATCATCTCACATATACGACGTATTAGTTAGTTATTAAATAAGTGACGGACAAGGTCGCAAATGGCAAAATTTATGTGGCACGGGGTCGTCATTGGGTACTAGAGGTGTTCTTAAAATATCAAACTATCTAAAATATCAATCAATCAATCAATCTTAAAATATCAATCTACTTAATACTTTAACCCCAACGTACATACTATTATTGTTCACTGTCGAGACAAAAAATCTCAAAACTAAATAGTATATTAAACATAAGTATTAACTAAGATACAGCTATGTAAACTCCACAGTCTTGAAAAAAATGTTTGGAAAAGTCAACTAGAACATGTCGGATCCCGCGTCTAAACCCTGGCGAATTTGGTACATGTTCTCAGCTTCTGTCAGTGACCGTTTCGTGCGACGCTCGCCATCGCCACAGGGACTGTGGATCACACAACTCTACTCTAAACCGAACGAATGCTCTCTCATAGTCTATGGAATAAATAAGTAAGGGCCTGCCTTCCTTCCTACAGGACACTCGTCCCTTTTTACATTTAGAACGAAGCCCTGGTTATTAAATATAGTTAGAGGTTTGGTCAGGAGTATGAAACTTTCCTGGTACTAACACTATGTACTAACAATATGTTAAGATAGAAAATTATATAATCATATACAATATTTATATATACTTGTCATAAAAACTAGCTTAAAGATTTTTATTATGGGGAAGACAGCTAGACTATGTGTATATATATATGTACTATGTAAATATGTTATGACGCTGATGTAGGCTTTCTGTATATAAGGAAAAGAGAAATTAAAAAAAAGAGGAAAGAAAAGAGACTCAACTGTCTCACACATTAAATGACATTCGAGAGTTATATTATTATTTACCACGACCTTCTACGAGAGATGCTCCCACAGACAGGGCAGTCCAAACAATAGATGAAGACGCTTAGTGACAGATATGGTTAATGAAACCTAAACCATATGTTATATTATATTTATTTTATATAATATACTTACATATATATTGAAAGCCTAAACGAAAAAAATAATATGTATATTAAATATGAATAATTATGAATGAAAATGTCGTATGTTCTAGCAAGTTTGATGAGTTTCGAGGATAAGTTGTATCACAGCAGACGGCGCATCTTATGAGTATATAAATATAAGAAAAAACTAGACGAGACATTCAAGACACAGCTGTGGTGTTAACTAGAACAAAATGAAATCCTTCGTAAGTTGATGGAGTGTTATGTCCGCTACTGTGAATAATTACCAACGAGTTATAATGACAGTCTTTATATTATATACTCGTATATTTATAGATCGTAGTATGCTGCCTGTTCTCGTGCGCCCTCGCCGGCGTGGCTCGTGAGAAGCGCGGCTTCCTGAGCGGCCTCCACTCCTCGGACGTGTACGGCGGCTACTCCGCTCCCATCATCAGCCTCTCGGAGCCCGTCCTCGGCTACTCCGCGCCCGCTGCCGAACTCGTCCGCGTCAACAAAGTGGTCAACTCTCACCGCGTCGTGGACGTGCCTCAAGTAGTGAACGTCCGCAAGGTGGTGTCCGTGCCTCAAGTGGTGTCCGTCAACAAGCTGGTGGCCGCTCCCAGCTACAGCTCCTACGGCGGCGGACTGGGGCTGGCTTCAGGCTGGGACCAGTCATACTCTAGCGGGTGGTGATCATACTACCATGACGAGAACATCTAGTCCTTACGTTTAATAATAATTTCAAGGAAATTATAATATTATTTGTATTTATTGTAAATAAATATTTTTTTACTTAAATACACTCTTTTTGTTCTCGACATTCCAGTATCGTTCTGATCACAATCAGACAAACGCCTTAAATACTGTATCATGAAAAAAAAATTGCTTTGTAAAATATTACGAGTACATTGTACTTAATGATTTAAAACAATACAATTTCGTGACAAATAAGAACAATAAATTTTTTGATCTTATCTTGAGCAATGTTTCAGTCGTCAACTTAGGACCGAGCTATGATATTTTAAGTGTAAGTGACGGTCACCACCCTTCTTTACAATTTTCAATAAATTTTAAATGGTAAGTCACTAGAATCTAAAATCATGTTAAGAAATAATTTTTTTAAGGCTGATTATTGTAAAATTCAGGAGGCTTTACAAAATATACATTGGGAAGATAAATTTTCAAAGTGTGGAGATGTGAAAGAGATGTTTGCATCTTTTTATGCGGTCCTTCGAGTCTTAATTGGATGTTTAATTAATTAAGCTTAGATACTTTCTAGTTGTTTGTTGTTCATGCACTGTATTTAAACTAAAATGGATTTGAACCAAAATGTTAACTCTGTGATTAAATGCACTCTGTTACTATTTCAGCATGAAGTGGTTGCCTGTAACTGAGGTAGCACATAGCATCTTAATTGTATTAATTTAAATGGTTGTATTTGTGTACACTTTGTTGGCGATCCGATAAATAAATAAATAAATGAATGAACGAATGAATGAACGAATTAATGAACGAATGAGTGAATGAATGAATAAATGAATAAATGAATAAATGAATAAATAAATAAATAAATTTCAGCTACATAATACTAATTGTTGATTTTGAATGTATATACTATATACGTATGGATGTGATTTTAATATGTTAGTTGTAATGACTCAGTTTATTGCAAAAACTAATTAGATGCTTGTTACATTTATATCAAGACTCACACATTATCATTGAAGGGTATTCATCGATACTTGAATGGTATTGATCGTCAAACATAAACAGAGGGAAGAAAGGGTTTATAGTCAGAGCGCGGGAGAACTTACTTTTGCTCCATAGAAAATATCACAATATCTTTATATACAGCTGAAAATAGATAAAACGATATCGGAATAGATAAGAAATATTAATTATTTAAGTGACAGAATCGAAGACGCTGGAAACTTTTTTCAATCAATACGTTATGAAAGAAATATTCATTTTACGATCACATTCAGTCGTTGTTGGGGTTTCAGCATCCGTACACTTTTACTGTGGCACATTCGAAGCCCCAAGACTAACAGCTGTAATCTTTTAATAGTGAAAAAAATAAATATTGTCTCAATATGAAAAGCAGATTTCCTAATGTATGTAATCTATAAAATAAGCGAACGGCTGACTGTCTCTCTCCTGTTTGGAGGCTGACTAAATTGGTTATATTCAAAAAGTTTCCTAATAAGTCTTCTTGCAGTTCTCTCCCAAAAAGTAATTGTTTTGCTCAAGCATGACTGAAGTAATTAGAGAACGAACAAAATAACTAAAAACAAGGACTTGACATATTGTTGTGAACACTTCAATACTTTACAAACGTTGTAATTAAAATATAATATTTTTTTTTATGGAACATTAATTAATAACTACTTTACTTGAACTGTAAATTAATAATCCATATATTTTAATAAACTAACTACTTCTCATTATTTACGAATCAAAATCGTCTTTAGATGATAGAGCCTAGCTGTGGTCAAATTACTATAGCTCCAACATGGGCTGGCTTGACCGGGGAAGTACCACCCTCTAGTAGAAAATCAGCGTGAAGTAGTCCTATATGGCTGTATCTCATCCGATGAGTGAGAGCGCCAGTTGCCCTTTCCTTATTCCCACTCTTTCCTTTTCACATAAAAAAAGTAACACAATAATCTCATGTCAGAGGATTGATGATCTGGTAAAGGGAACATGTTCCTGTCGTCTGGATGTTTATTTATTTCTAAGCGGAACTGGAGATATCACGATGGATTACAAACATAATATTGTTATTAAGAAGATGAAACACAACACACAAAATGACACTTTTTGATATAAATATTTAATTTTAGTTTTTCTTCTCTATTGCCCTTCTACCTTAACTTGTGAATTTTTTATGGTTTAAACTTTAAAAGTTAATTTATTTGAAACAATAAGTTTCATTTCAAAAAAAAATAAAGTGCTATGCTTTTATCAGTACATAGTGAAACATTTTTTAAATATTAACTACCACAACATTACTCTTGAATCTGTGAAATATGTGTTACGATAAAAACGGCAAGGAATGCAAAAAACATAATAAGATAATAAGTCTGTTCGAAATATTATTAAAAACTTAGAAACATTTATGTACCGAATCACAAACACATATATGTCGAGTCAGAGCTGTAAGGCTGAAAAGTTGTGCAGTAATAAAATACGATTACACCCTCCAGTATGACCATACTTAAAGTGTGTAGAGTTTTCGTATCAATGCCTCAAAACAACTTCCATATATTCAAAGTTGCTAATAACAAAAAATATAATATATAAATTTCTAAAACTATCAATGAAATAGTTAAAATAAATATAAAAGTATTTATTTAAATAAATAACAGAATTATCAAACAAATGAGACTAGATGTTGTCGTCATGGTAGTATGATCACCACCCGCTAGAGTATGATTGGTCCCAGCCTGAAGCCAGTCCCAGTCCGCCGCCGTAGGAGCTGTAGCTGGGAGCGGCCACCAGCTTGTTGACGGACACCACTTGAGGCACGGACACCACCTTGCGCACGTTCACTACTTGAGGCACGTCCACGACGCGGTGAGAGTTGACCACTTTGTTGACGCGGACGAGTTTGGCAGCGGGCGCGGAGTAGCCGAGGACGGGCTCCGAGAGGCTGATGATGGGAGCGGAGTAGCCGCTGTACACGTCCGAGGAGTGGAGGCCGCTCAGGAAGCCGCGCTTCTCACGAGCCACGCCGGCGAGGGCGCACGAGAACAGGCAGCATACTACGATCTACAAGTAATACAATTTTAATAAGGTATTAGAATGTGACTTAATAAAATCGTGGAACTTTTTGTAAGGTTCAGTTTCATACTCACAAATGATTTCATATTGAATGTCGTTTAGCAGACGGCTGTGAGGTGAGTGATGTCTGTCCGTGTTATTGGTGCATCTTATATATGTGTGACTGGCGGAGACTACAGTGACGTAATGTGGTCTTGAACTCACCGAACTAGAGCTTTGTATTTCTTCAAATATATTACGAGGATTTATTTTGTTTAAATCGATTCACATCATATCAGATTTATGGTATCACCTTAATATAGTGGAGAAAAAATTTTATTTTCCCTTTTTTCTTCATATTCAAAAACCTGCCTGGTGGTCGCATATGTTTTAAATAATGGATGTATTCATAGTGTTATATGTAGTTAATAGGAGTATGGGTTGTAAGTTACCATGCATGTTACATTCAAAGAAGACATTATTATGTCTTCATTAACAGATACATAGCTTGTAGGAAGTGGATGAACGTTTATTTTGATAAAATTTGAAGTAGTTTAAATTACAGTATATGGCTTATAAACGTGGAAGAAGAAGAGTGGAGCTGGAAGATGAATAAATCCTTTAAAAGTCAATCAAGGACTCTACTCCGAGAGTTTTTATGAATGACTTTCACATTACAATTTCATATTTGATGTGATCGTAACATGATGATGAAAGTTTCAGGAGCTCGGAAGGTTTTTATATCATTTTGTTACATCATTCATATAAAACAACTGTTGTGTATTACTTACATTAAAAGCAACATTAAAAGAATATCTGTTAAATATTGACACAGCAATCTATGAATACAAATTATGACAAAACGTTTAAGTGATTATTATAAAATATAAATTCACTACAATTTATTTCATATAATTGGGAGCGAATTTATTTCACTTGTAATAGATGGTTATTATATTAATAAAACTACCTAATATTTATTAATATAAATGTCATTTCTTATATCGTAGAAGATAACAGCGATCTGTCTTATTACATAACTGAGAGTGTTCATATAGATACACCTTCTTGTCGTAACCGACGTTTGTAATAAGATCAATTTATCACTTACTAAATAATAAACCGTCTATTAATACACTCATCAACATGAAAGAGCTATTAAAAGAAACATAAAAAGATTTGCCCCCAGTAGTTGTTACAGTTTCTTTGTGTATGTTTGTGTTTATGAAAGATTCGATAATATAACAATTTAATGACTGCTCTACAGTTAATGTATGTAATAAAATATTTTTTCAGTACCATTATATTCCGATGGCTAAGTTTGTAATGTTCTTTATGTCATATGATATTTTAGCAAACTTGCAAAGGTTCGTCTGATGAAAACTGACTGCCCGTGGTAGTGTGTTTTCACAGTACTCTGATAAGGAGTGCTGAGCTGTGCACATATGGAAAAAGTGGAAACCACCGAAATGTCCTGATTCACATTCCATTTCTCAATCTCACGCACACGTGAAACATAACACTGAATATAGTTACGACAATAACAATGTATGGAAGTTCCATTAAGGTTTTATTTTACTAGATGAAACAATAAAGGTGTTTCAGCTGTTCCTTTTTTATAAAAACCTCTCCTTCGAGAATTTTTAGAGTTAGTAACTCCTCATCGTTTTATTAAACTCTAATCAATGTCAACATTGGGCCGAATAAATATATTATGATGTATGGTCAAGGTGTCATCCATCAGTAATCAGTACAATGTCACACAGACTTGTTTAAGTTTGAATCTGAAATAAAAATGAGTTACGGCGAAGTCCTTGACAAATAACTAACATAAGAGAAGCCGCCGCAGAGCAGCCTTGTAATGTTTTGCAATTATTATTTATGTGGAAAGTACTTCAGAAGGCAAGTTTTCGTATCACTTGTTGATTTATTTTTATTATAACTAGACTTTTTTTGTGTTATTTTTTTGTATTATCATTAAATTTGACGTATTCTTTTATGTTTAGTTCTTTTTCCAGATAAAGCTGGAAGGGTTTTTGAAAGTTGAAATTTTTGATTTTTGATCTTCTTCTAAAAATTCGGCAAATTTGTTGTTGTAAAATGAAAATTATTAACAATAAAGACTCGACAGCGTTACCTTGTAATCAATGTTCGGCAATAGTGTTTAAAACTTCAAAAGGACACGTGTAGGAGTTGTGAAGTTATGAAGGGCACTGACTTTGAAAACATGAGTTGTGGGAAAAACGCTTTAAAGTTTGGAACACAAAAAACCGTTAACATTCTATCGATATACCTCACACCGAGTTATCAAAACCAGGTTCATACAGGATGTTGGTGTTGTCTTTGATATGTCAAGCATCTTTTTGTTCTTGCCTACGACGAATCTTACTTTCTGCCCTTCAGCTTCCTGCTCTGTTCGGTTTATGTGTTCGCCGTCAGTTGATACAAATATCCGACAGATATAAAAATACACATAATTTTGTCAATTTTTCTCCAACTGACTTGAAATTTCGACACGATGTTCTTCAGATATTGTGCATTCAATTTAAAAAATAAAAAAATCGATACCTTAAATCTTGGGAAAGGGGTTTGACACGCCATTCAATAGAATATATAATTACAGTTAACTTTAAAACAGTTTTCAGTAAATATTATCGTCGATGGTGATTTTGAAATGTTATTAAAGAATTCTCGACACTACTATACTTTAAATTTAAATAATTCATACTGATACATGTTTCTAAAACACATAAATATTTTCTAAATATTCTTTATTATATTAAATTCTCGACAAACCTGTCTATAATTTCAAGAATTTTCTCAATTAATTATTTTTATCTTTATTATAATAAATAATAATTCTCCGTTATGAAAAACAATTTCCTAAAAATTGTTCTATAATTTGCCTACGGACCTCAGTGCCTAACTTGGCAATACCGTTTTGAACCAGCCCCCGTATTATATTAATATAAATGTCTTTCTTTAATAAGTAAGTCGTAAATAGTAAACGTAATTATCAGGCTGTCAAGATTATTTATATACTCTTAACACAATCATAAATTAAAACTTAAATTAAAATAAACTACAATCATCATTTCACGTTCTCTTAGATATATTCTCTAATAGTAAATATTGCAACAGTAAAGTAAAGTGATACCATAAATCTGATATGATGTGAATCGATTTGAATAAAATAAATCGTCGTAATATATTTGAAGAAATACAAAGCTCTAGTTCGGTGAGTTCAAGACCACATGACGTCACTGTAGTCTCCGCCAGTCACACATATATAAGATGCACCAATAACACAGACAGACATCACTCACCTCACAGCCGTCTTCTAAACGACATTCAACATGAAATCATTTGTGAGTATGGAACTGAAAGTTACTACATATCTATACCTTACAAAAATATAACGATTTTATAAAGTCACATTCTAATAGCTTATCCTAATGATTGTATTATTTGTAGATCGTAGTATGCTGCTTGTTCTCGTGCGCCCTCGCCGGCGTGGCTCGTGAGAAGCGCGGCTTCCTGAGCGGCCTCCACTCCTCGGACGTGTACAGCGGCTACTCCGCTCCCATCATCAGCCTCTCGGAGCCCGTCCTCGGCTACTCCGCGCCCGCTGCCAAACTCGTCCGCGTCAACAAAGTGGTCAACTCTCACCGCGTCGTGGACGTGCCTCAAGTAGTGAACGTGCGCAAGGTGGTGTCCGTGCCTCAAGTGGTGTCCGTCAACAAGCTGGTGGCCGCTCCCAGCTACAGCTCCTACGGCGGCGGACTGGGACTGGCTTCAGGCTGGGAACAATCATACTCTAGCGGGTGGTGATCATACTACCATGACGAGAACATCTAGTCTCCTACGTTTAATAATCATTTTAAGGAAATTATAATATTATTTGTATTTATTGTAAATAAATATTTTTCTACTTAATATTTAGAAATCTTTGTATGTTTGTCTTAAGCCCAAGAAAAAAAAAATAACCACACTTTTTTTCGATAAAAAAAAATACAAAACTGGTCCGTTGGGTATAGAAGTAAGGAATATTTATAATAATTAATTATTTTTATTCGAAGAAACTTCTCAACATTCTATTGATCACCGTGCGAGTGCCGGGTCTATCGCGTTACAGGGGGGGGGAACTTCGATAGCGCCTGGGACTTGCGGCCCAGGTGTAAGTTTATGGGTCCCTATCTAACGCACTCCTCACCTCCACCCTCCAAGCTCCTCTCTCTACCTAACCAAATTAGAAAAAAACTTCTAGGGCAGCCTTTGAAGTACGTTCCAAGAATAAATTGATATTAGTTCTGGACAGGCACGAGTCTTTCAGTAGGTTGTACAAACGTAGTATGTACAAAAGACAATTAAGTTTCTTTTGGTCAAAATTTTACTGCTTTGAATCCCTACCTATTTCATTTCTTGTTGAACATATTTAACATATATGGGAGTAGCTGGCGCTATCTCCAAATTTATTATTTACACTCTAGCTAATAATTCTAGCTAATAGTAATTAATAAGTTTTTGTATAGCTAATAAATAATACTTTTTTGGTATTTTGATCACCGATCAACTTAAATAAAAGTATGTATTTTCACTTCTAAAAGTAAGTGAAAAGGAATCCTTGTGTATACGTACCATCCCAATAATAGCCTATTAACTCTACCTCTATCTATCGCGTTATCTAATAAACAAATTGCAATAAAAATTTCGAGTGTAATATCTTTTTTCTATTGATTTTAGTTCACAATTACAACTTTCAATTATTCACATAAGTTAACATCTGAATTGTGAGACCCATAGCGTGCTATTTTCAGTAATTTTTAAGATAAATATCTACAAAACAAAAATTTTTGTTGATCTTTGTTTTCATAAAATAGTTAATAAATCATTTTCATTGCGAGTATAGAAGTAGCAATTAAAAGAACTCACTAAGAATCGTTTCGTTATAAATTTGTACGCGGTAGAAATGGGAGCGAGAGGTATAACGGCAAAATCTCTCTACAACCCACTAAAAGACTTTTAACCTATCCAAAGATAATATCTATTCATTCTAGAAATGTATTTTGAAGACAGCCCTAGTAGGTTCTTTTCGAATTTGTTTAGGTAGAAAAAAACCTTGGACGGTGGAGGTGAGCGTTTAACGCGCGTTAGATAGGGGCACCTTAAACTTACACCTGGGTCGCAAGTCACAGTCACTGTTGAAGCTCCACTCCCTGCAACGATGGCCCCGGCACCAGCACGGTGAATACATTGAATGTTGAGAAGTTTCGTCTAATAATAATAATTAATTATTATATATATGTATTTCCGGTTTCAATATCCAATGGACCGGTTTTGTATTTTTTTTTATATAAAAAAAGTGTGGTTATTTTTTTTTCTTGGGTTTAAGACGGATACAAAGATTTGTAGACATTAAGTACAAAAATATTTATTTACAATAAATACAAATAATATTATAATTTCCTTGAAATGATTTTTAAACGTAAGGACTAGATGTTGTCGTCATGGTAGTATGATCACCACCCGCTAGAGTATGATTGTTCCCAGCCTGAAGCCAGTCCCAGTCCGCCGCCGTAGGAGCTGTAGCTGGGAGCGGCCACCAGCTTGTTGACGGACACCACTTGAGGCACGGACAACACCTTGCGCACGTTCACTACTTGAGGCACGTCCACGACGCGGTGAGAGTTGACCACTTTGTTGACGCGGACGAGTTTGGCAGCGGGCGCGGAGTAGCCGAGGACGGGCTCCGAGAGGCTGATGATGGGAGCGGAGTAGCCGCTGTACACGTCCGAGGAGTGGAGGCCGCTCAGGAAGCCGCGCTTCTCACGAGCCACGCCGGCGAGGGCGCACGAGAACAGGCAGCATACTACGATCTGAAGTATAAGAAATGAGCATGATTAAGAACACAAGAAAAGCGTTTTCTCAAATCAGTTTGTTTATGTAATTTTTCAACTTACATAGGATTTCATTTTGAGTATTGATTCTTACAATATGTAGTGATGAATGATACTGTTTTGTTAATGTTAGTATATATATGAGCCAAGTTTACGCAACTCGTCCTCGATCTCACTACAACTCACAGATACTTTGACAAATATTTGTGCTAATAAATCGCTAATATTATTTTTAATTCAAGGATTATAAATATTAATATTAATAAGTATTATTAATATTATTTTAATATTATTTATTATTAATATTATTATTAATATTATTTTTAATATTATTTTTTTTATTATATTAATAACGTATTTCTGTATTAGTAAATCTTTGTGATCTATTGTACATATTATCAAAAATGGAAATTTCATTTTTTTTTTCAATTTAATTCCTTAATTTTTAACCAGATTACTTTTTCTTCCAATTCTAAATAGTTAGACAGACAAATATTTAATACAGCTGTTAATGATTGCAATATATAATATATTTTTGTTTTTATAAAAAGGAGATCATTTAAAAATTCTTAAACAGTTGCAATTATATATTT